ATTACAGGCGTGAGCCACCGCGCCCGGCCCACCCTGGCTTTTCTATTCTTCATCATCCTCAATTCCAGTGATTAGTCCTATCATCATACCCCCTTATCTACGGCTGTCGACTAAGCAGTCCCACCCACCTTAGGGAGCATTTGGAAGTGTGTGTGGGTGATCTTGGTTGTCACACTGACTGGGAGACGCACTGACATTCAGTGCCCAGGAGCCAGGGATGTTAAATATCCTGCAAGGTATGGAACAGTCTCACACAGTAAAATATTGTCATCTCCCAAATACCAAAAATGCCTTTCCCAATTAAGAAACATTACTCTTGGCCTTGCCATTACCAAAATCTTCATCAACTCCATAATCCCCATTTCTGGCATCTTATTCTTTGTCCTCTATTTCTTCCCATAATCATTGCAACAATTCTTTCACCGGGTTGCAACCTCATATTCATTGGCCTTACCACCTTCCTTCCCATTGTGCCCTTGCTTGCCTCCCCATGCAGTGTGGATTCTATGTTGTATCATAGTCACTTTCTTGCACATATCCTCAGTTTCCCAGTCTGTTACACTGTCATATTCATGTGGAAAAAACCCAAACCTAGTTTATTTCAAGTCTCTGCCTACTTTCTCCCTGAACCTACACAGGTAAATGTGGCTAAAGAAAAACACAATCATGCTGATTGGTCTTCATTTAAGTTAACAACCAATAACTTCAGGTGGGCTCTCAGCACTATCTGATAATCCTATTATACTTTCCCAGTACATTCTTCATGCTCCAAGTTTCCCAAACCGTCTTTGTCTTAGCTTCTCAAACCTCCAGCATCCTCCCTCACTTAGCTACTCAAACTCAGCTTCTTATTTCACCAATAAAACAGAAGCAACCTGAAGAGAACCCCGCTTTTTATTATCAAACCTGTAACCCACTTCAATCTGTACCCACATACTGTCCCTTCCCTCGTATTACTAAGGATGATATATCTGTGCTCCTTTCTAAAGCTAATACTTCAGTTTGCACACTGGATTTTATCTCTTTATATTTACCAGGACTTTGCCCCTATAATTTCAATCCTATACTCTGCATCACCAGTTTTCTCTCTATATTAGATGACTTTCATTAGCAAATACACACCATTTGCCAGAAAACCTTTCGTTTGACTCTATATCTCCTCTAGCTACTGAATCACTTTTGTCCTCTCTTATGTAGCAAAACACTTATTCTTTCCCCCATTTCCTTATATTCCATTCTGCTTTGAACCTTTTCCAGTTAGGCTTTCAGTCTTATTACTCCACCAATGCTGCTTATTCAGAGTCACCAATAACCTCCATATTGCCCAATCTATCTTCAATTCTCAGTTCTTTTTTTTTTTTTATTTCAGCATATTATGGGGTACAGATGTTTAGGTTACGTGTATTGCCCTTGGTTCCCCTCCCCAAGTCCGTGTTTCAAATATGTCCATCCTTCG